TTGAAACAGACCTCAAAGCAGGGGAAACTAGAACAGCTTGCTCAGTGCCTTGTTCAGTTGGGTTTTGAATATCTTCAAGGAAGGAGGCTCTACAACCTCTCCAGACAACCTGTTTCAGTTCTGCCAAGCTGCTTTCCAGTCAATCAGCCCCAAAATCAGACAAAAATGTGCTGCTGTGGGGTGTCATTCCTCCCCAGGTGCAGCAGTTTAGTTTTCCCTTTGTTGAACTCCATGAAGTTCCTGTCAGCCCATTTCTCCAGCTTGTCAAGGTCCCTCTGAGTGGCAGCATCCGGTGTATCCATTCTGTGTATAAAGCTCTGTTCTCAATTCTGAGTTGTTTTCAAAATTCCTGAGGGAGAACTCTGCCCCGTCATCTAGATCATTAATGATGTTAAACAGTACTAGCACCTGTAACAACCCTGGGGTACACCATGAGTGACTGGCCTCTGAGGTGGACTTCGTGCCACTGATTACAATCTTCTAAGCCTAGCACCAGTTTTAAACCCATCTCACTGTCCACTTATCTAGTCCATATTTCATCAGTTTGTCAATAGGTATGCAATGGAAGACTGTCAAAAATCTTACTAAAGGCAAGATAAACAGCATCCACTGCCAGTCGTGTCATTGCAGAACACTATGAGGTTGGTCAGGCATGATTTACCTTTCATGAATCCATGCTGACTACTCCCAGTCACCTGCTTGTCCTTTGTATAGTGTAGAAATGGTTTGTAGTATTATTTGTTTTACCTTCTCTGGGATCAAGGTGAAGTTGACTGGTCAGTACTTCCCACGATCCTGCTTCCCGTCCTGCTTGGAGACAGGAGTGGCTCTCTCCCAGTCCTCAGGAACCTCTCCCAGTTGCCATGACTTTTCAGAGATAACCAAGAGTGGCCTTGCAATGACATTCGCCAGCGCCCTCAGCACTTGCAGGTACACTCCATTAAGTCCAAAGGGCTTGTTTACATCCAGTTTGTTTAAATTTCCCCAGCTGGATCCTTCTCTACTGAGGATAAGTCTTCATTGACCCTCATTGAAAATCCCCATTGAAATCAAGACAACTAAAGAAAAAGAAGAACTGATCTCTTTTTAAGGATACAGCATGGCCTCCCTTTGTGTAACTTTTAATACAAAAATGTAAACTTCTGGAATGTCCCTTTATATTGTGTCACTCCCACTCTCTTTTGAAGTTAACCCTACTCTGCTTTGGAATAGAAGGACTAAAGCTAAAGTTAATGTGACTCAATTTTGCATGTAAGAAAGGAAAGCTACTGTAGTCCAAGAAAATATCCTGACAGCCTCCAGGTTTTCCTCTATATGCAGTGAAAGCACATGGCTTGTAACACCACTGGGTATTGCAGCATATTACAGTGCAGTGGACCACTTTTGCTGAACCCCTTCTGTGGAGCTGTGTCCCCCTAGCGAGTGAAGAGAGCACATCTTTTGTGATCTCAAGTTTAAGAGATGTCATCCTGCTGGTTATTGCTGGAAGGACCAAAAATTATGTAACCCATAATGAGTAAAATGCAACTGCAGTAACATTCAGTGTAAGAACTCTAGACTTTGAGAAAAGTTAAAAAACAGTAAAATGGCAGAAATAGCTTCCATTTATAGAGTCTCATTTTTCACTTTTGTGTGTGTGTTTTTAAGAACAGATGTTTTTCAAAAAATGGTAGACTTTGCAGCAGTGGTCAGCATAGTCATTACTAAGTCATTAGACTTCTGTTGCATGCAGAAACACATGGAGGTTTAAATAAGTGCCTGCTGTTTTGAGCAGAAAGCTTCACTGTAGAGTATAACAGAATTATTTAATGACAGTTTGGAAGTACTGGGAGAAGTAGATAGGCTACTGTAGACTCAGTTTAGTCCTGTATTTTGGCATGCCGTGTAAACAGGATGTTCACATAAAGATAAAGTTGACTGTTACATGCTCATGTTAAAAAGTTCTTAGAATATTAAAAACTCCTACAGTTTCCAAGAAAAAAATGTATTGATAGATTACCATGTCAGTTTGTTTCAGTAAGCTGCTAACTATATTCAGTTTGGTATCTTCATGCCTTTGGGGAGAAAGACCTCACTGTGATGAAAAAGAGGAACTTCTTATACAAATATTAACATATGTTCTGGCATAATGAAAATATAATCCGTATTCCATAATAGTAGGTCACTGGATTTTAGACTAGAAACTCTGTATTCAAAACTAGAGCAAGTATTTTTGAGCTGACATCTCCAAACTCTGAAAATACTGTCTTCCACATCTGTTTTAATGTTTTCAATCACTTTCACTGAAAATGTTTTGGATAGGCTTTCTTTAGATTATTACTATTTGTGATCAAACTTTTCCCCAGTGTAAACCTGTAAATACACTGGAGTCAGAATTAGAAATAAGTTTTTATATCTGATCTTTTTTTCTAGTACAGTCCATTGGCTACATTTCAGTTTTGTTCCAGCTTGAGAGACTTTGAGTTAGGTATCCTGCAAATTCTTTGCAAATTAACTGGCTGATAAAGTGTAGTTGCTATTATTTACTGTATGCTCAATATTATTCATGCATAGCATGTGGTATCAGGAAACTTCTTCCTTCTCATTGCTGCAAATATTGACTTTTTGCAGATTAATATCCTTTTACCTAAAAAAAAAACCCAAAACCAAAACCCCCCAAACCAAACCAGTTTTAGGCAGTTGTTTTCCTTGTTTCTTTCCATGCCAATAATTATACTAAACCTAATTTTATAGTAATTTTGTTGATGTTTTTCTTTCAAGATAATCTGAGATACTAATCTGAATTAGAAAAAAATTTTGAATGTATGTCCAGTGATGGACTGGACCTAGCGTTGTAACTCTAGTGATACAGTTATTAGTTGGGTCCATGGCTGATGAAATGCATTGACTCTAATGGTGAAGCTAGGAAAATAAATAAAAAAACCCAAACAGAAAGAAGAGTGAGAGACAGAGTGACAGAAAGGGAAAGGGAAGCACGAAGAGAGAAAGAGAGATGGGGGCAGGGGAGAAGGGAGAGAGAGACACAGAGAGAATGGAAAATGCTTCACAGTGGCCAGCCAGGAAGAGAAATGTGCAGGGCTCCCTGGGTGAGTGTCCTCCCCCAGTTCCCTCTTCAGTGAAGCAGTGTTCTCCCCTAAGAGTACTTTTACCACAATAACTTGATATTTTTCATCAGGACCTGCACAAATTCACTATTGATTGTTGTCCTTTTGATGCTGTTATTGCTGATTGAATCATGCACTGGTCAGAGAAGGTGCTGCACAGCTGGTTCATTGCTGAGCTTTCTGCCAACACTAAACTTTGGGATACAATAAACTAAAACCTCTATTTCTTGCTGAAGACCACTACTGATCTGGGTTTAGAAAGACTCTTTAGATCCAGAAATGCTCAATGACTTAGTCAATTACAGTGTAAACAACAATAAAGTTTAAAATGAACTGTAAAGGCTAAGATGGAAGGTTGGCTGCAATGTGGATGCATCCGCAGTATTTACATGGCTTAATCTACCCTGACTGTATCAATTATAATAAGTTTAAGGTTGATTCTTCTTGTGGCTGCTGATGATATGTGTTATTATTTAGCTATTCTACAGTAGTGTTGGTGTAGTGTGTTATAATGTTCATATAGTTAGTCATTTAAAATAAAAAAATGTTCTGTGCTGTGGCAGTGGGGACCACAAACACTTCACTTAAACCTGGAATGTTACCTCATGGCCCAGGAACAGATACAGCCTGTAAGGATGGTTCATATGACATGCAGTCTACACCTTGCAACCTGGATCCATCTGCTTCTTACCAAAAAACATGTAGCTGCTGCAGCATTATCAGATCTTGACCCAGTGTACCCTCTGAACAACTGTATTAAAAAAAAAAAAAGTTTTTGCCACATCATAGATTTTTCATTGCATTTGTCCTGTACTGAGATGACAGTCTTACATCATGACATTTAGAAACCTTCCCACATTTTTCAGTCTGCTTGAGTAATAGCCAAAGACTTGAGATTTCAAAGTTTCACATTGCTTTGTTATTAAATAACAAATGAAATCTTTTAATGAAATCTTTCTACTGACCTGATACACCACCAGTGTCCATTGAAGGCTTAATTTTAGGCTTAACTAAAAAAGACTTTTCCTAAACCAAACACAGGTAAAATACAGAACTTTCTTGACATAGTATACAAATTCTAGATAAAAGCAGTAGCTCCTTGATTTTAAGAAAACTCTGGCCAAAAAAAGAAGTTGACATTGGTTTTAGAGGAGTTTCATTATTTCAGTGAGGTATATAAAAGTGTGATTCACTCCTTTGAAAATGCAAGGCTCACTTATTAAAACAAATTTAGTGTGTATGAATAGAGAGGTCCGATAGGTGAGTGAAGGGTTAGGAATGTAGGTAGGTGGGTAGATAAAGCCAACTGAACATGCCAAATGTGATAATGAAAGAGCTAGTTCTTGTATGATAAAAACCATTATCTAAGCTTTATGGGCAAAGAAATATAGTACATCCGCTTTAAACAAGTTCACTCATGTCACAAGCAGCCTAACTATTGCCATTGGTGCAATACCTGCAGAGTCCATTTAATAGCTGGGTAAATGTTTAAGCAGTTAACTTGTTTCAAGCTCCCTGCAACTGAGGCTACACTCCTACTTTTAATATGTCTATATTACCATAAACCCAGCATCTGCCCTTGAATCATCCTTGGAAGGAATGACAGATAGCAAGAATAATATAAGTGACGTAAAACATCAGACTAGTATTTATGAGTATATTCAGGCATTAAACAGAACTACTGGCTAAAAATTCGCATGCAGTTCCAGAGAATACGTCTTCTCTGGTGTCTCAGAGAAAGAGATGTTTAAAAGTTTATTCTTACTGTTTCCAACATTCTTGGGATTCCAGCAGCAGCTAGAGCCGTGAGAATATTGATGTAAATGAGTGAAGGCAGAGATCTGAAAGATTAGGTCCACGTCAGACTTTTATTTTATTTGGAGGTTTGGCTTCCTGCCATGTGTTCGGGCAATAAATTGGCTGAAAGAGAGGTGCTTCTAGCATTCCCCTGAGTAGAAGTATCCCGGCAAAGACAATAGCAGGCAAAATAAGGTAAGCAAGAGTGGAAGATTACAGCAGGGTTTTAAATAGACTTCGATTTAAGGTTATTTTATCAGACTGCTTGTTTAGATTCTAACAAATAGTGATACTTTCAGTTGACTTTAAAGTTTTCTTCTGAAATCTCTTCCTTAGTCTAGTTTATGTCTATTTTTCTATGTTTCTATATCTAGTTTATAGATTTTGTAAAGTCTGTCTGATTTGAAATAGATGATAACCTCATTATTTATTAGCTGTAGGATGCCAAAAGTTCTTTTTAATCCATTGTTAAATTGTAACAAACTTGGAGGAGTTACTTAGGTTCTTCAGAAGCAGAACTGTCAGCTGCAAACCAATACACTAGACAAATACAGTTCTGATCCTTTAATGGTCTTAGACATACCTTGTAATGAATGTACCAATATAGTATGATATAATATTTGGGCTGTACCACTGTGTGAATGAACTCCAAAATTTTAAATTCTGTTTTCATGTACTGAATTTAGTTTAATTTTATGATCATATGTGTCTGGGTGTTAAGTGGAAGAGAGAGAATAATGGCTAAGAACAAACAAGATCACTAAGGGTGCAAGAGAAGCTAGATAACAGATTTTCTTTGCTGCCTTTGTATAAATGAATTGATATGGTCTATGTAGCAGGAAAAATTTTTAAACTCCCTGTGCTTTTAGGGTGATCTTGTTGCCACTGGCCACAAACATGCTCAAGTATATCTGATTTCAGCAGTTTAAAGAGCTATATCTCTAGTTTCTGCTTCACTTGTACTTAGCTTAGATGCAAAACAAAATAAAACAGACCCAAGTTTCCAAAACAAAGAGTGGTTGATTGGGTCTGCAGCCAGGAAGAGTATCCAGCTCTTCCTAGCCCTCTTCAGGCAGCACATACCTTACAGAAGAGAGAAAAGAACAGAAGAAATGGGCATGAAAGACATTAAAACAAAGAAATAGACATAGGAGGAGACATACAATATTAAAAAACAATGAATGAGTATGAAAAAAGTGGGAGTAGGTGACATCTACATAAGAACACGGAATGAGAGGAAAGGCTTATTGAAATGGGAGTATTTATATGTCACTCAGTCTTAAGGGACATGTGAGGAAATTCAAGCTATGGAAGATTTTGTTATATATTGTAGAGCACTTTATTTGTTCTGGAGAGCTAACAAAGGTGAAGTTCTACCACAGAATTTTCCATTTTCTGCTCGTTCAAACAAGCTAAAATGATTAAACTTAAGTACAGTCCTTGAGAACTTCAAAGATTACCCATCTATCTTTCTCCATAGAAAGTCTCCTAAGATTTATCCACTTCCTAAATATGCTTCTGAAATTTTCTTTAAACTGGCCTGCTCTCTTCAGGAATTCTTCAGGGTCTTGGCTTGTAATCATCCTCCTTTTCTTACAGTGGTGGGTGTAAATAATGCAAATGCAAGACTCTGAATCTAGATGGTTTGCATGGTATCACACTGGTTCCCAAAAGAAAAAAGAAAATAATTTCATTAAGCGTTTAGGACTAACTCAACATAAATTGGCATTAGTAACTGCAGTATACAAAGGGCAAGCCCAGCAGAAGACAATTCCCTGACTGCTTCACTGGGTATAAAAATCAGGAATTGGGATCTTCAGAACTTCTGATCAAGTGCAGCCAAACTAGAATTGCACTTAATGTTTTCAGTAGGAATGTTCTGTAAGGGATTAAATGTCTGGTTTTGAGTATCCTAGATCTAACGATGTCTTGATGCTTTGTTAATGCTGAATGCCTAGCACCCTATCATGTCTCAAGATCCACAAGCTGGTGTTACTGCCCACATACTCTGCAGAGCCTGATTCAGTTAGATGTTTGCAGAGTGCAGGTCCCAGTCAGGACTTAGTGGAAAATCACAGAGAGTCTTCTTTTTTATTCAGCTTGCTCAGGGATAAAGCAATTTCAGCAAGAGGAAGATCCAGCCTTTACTTTCTACCTCTGACTACAAGTTATCAGACATTTGAAAAATGAGATATCTTTACTAGGAAGAATAAGTTAATTCTTTCTAATAAATGTTTCACTTTTCAGTGGCCTAACTGAATGTTTAGATACAACTGAAGAGCCAAAGAGAGCGAAAAAAGAGCCTTAGTTAGCCTTCGTAGTCTAGTAACAAGAGAATTGCCAGGGACAGAAGTATTTCATTTCTACCATTTCACATAAATATCTAATGTGAAGTCCTGCATCAGTGAACTGAGCCAAACCAGAAGATGGAACTCCCCTGCCCTGTCTGAGTTCACAAATCATTACACTAGTGTCAGAGCCATGATCTCTCTGGCCTAACTGATATTTAGTTATTCTGTGCAAAGCTGCATGGGGCTAAAATTATACCCATCTTTCCTTGGTTCATTCACCAGTCTACCAGACAAAATTGAAGCTCATAATTTTCTTTGGTCTGCACTTGCCATAAACAATTGTCATAAACAGTTGACTTCAGAAGAGTGTGTAGACTTGAGAATTCCAGTTTCCCTTTCTCCAAACCAAAGGTCCTTAGCTTTTCTGAAATGCAGTGATTTAAGCTGCATCCTCAGGATATCTTATTAGCTTCCTGGGTGGTTCCTCAGTCAGTGTGATTCCCATTCTTAGATACCAGCCTCTCCTTAGTGTATCGAGCCTAGGTAATGCTTAAATCCTTTTATTCATCTAGCCTTCAAAAACTGAAGAGCATTATTTCTTGTAAATATAGTCACAAATCAAACATAATTTGAAAAATGCAGAGCACATTGAAGTGAAATTATTGAATTGTAAAGGAAACATTAATAATTTGAAAATATGAATGGTTGCTAATGGTAGGACATGGATTTTTTTTCTGGTCACTTGTGATAGTCAATAATTGTAATATACTCCTCAAATTTCCAAACTCCAGTCCTCATTCCTGAGGTAACGTTTCCTGAACTTTGGTTTAAGATTGCAATATGGCTGCATGTCTTTGCTGGAACTCAGATTATGCTGTGTTGAATTTAGCATAATTTTCAATCACTTATGAATACTTGGAAAATTATCTTAGACTGTATTCTGAAGGACAAAAAGAATATGATTTTTCAATCCAGCTAGCAAGGTGTAGGCAGGTTGCTAGGACTGAGAAGCATAAATAAATTAAATTGAAGTCACATAAACTGCTTATATTTTATCTAAGGGCAAATCTTTTAAAATATAATCCTTCAACACAACTGTATCCATGATAACCTGCATCTTAGTGGAAGTGTAGGTAGGTAACTGATTTACCGTCTCTGGAAACACACCATTTTTGCCTTGCAAGACACAGGCTTGGGTCATGCATGCAGTGAAACATTTATTGATTTTATCCTGCTTCCTTTAACTGTCTTTTATCAAAATTATACTCTTTGCAAACTCGTTTCTCAACTGAAACATGAAGTATTGTGACAGATTCTAACTCCTACTTTAGAACTGGAAAAGAGAAGCAACTCAGCTTGTCAGGATTTCTCGAGTGTGTCCGCAATGCTGCTCCGCTCAGGCCGTGAAAAGCCGTATGAAGAGTCTCCCCATAGAAGGCAGCCTGTTAAGAAGCAATCTCTGCCAAGAACTGTAAAAACAGCTTCTGGAAAGTCAGGTAACTCTTTCCTGAGTGACAGGTGTGTTTGTAATCTTGGAAAGATGATTCTAGTCCAAGGGAGAATCCAACCAAATTGAGTATGTGGAACACCTTATCTATAATAAAGTCAAAAACAAAAATACCTGGAGGAACAAAAAAAAAAAGAAAGCTGCCTTTAAAACAACCAGTACAGAAATACTCCTCAAAACAGTGACATTAGATTTTTCACACCACCAAATTCAGACCAGTAATTCCTAAAGTACTTCTATACCCCCCTGGAAATAATGAATGACATAGCAGTCCTGCCAATTGTTTTATTTTGGGCACTGTACTAGTTCTTCTAATTCTAGTTAAAAGTAGAATTCTTACACTATAACTGTTGTAATATAACAATTTTTAAAAGGCTTGCTGTATTAATTATTGTAGCTGTTGTCCTGTTGCTTTTTAGAACAACCCATCTTTTTACTGGAAGCCTGATAGCCTTAGTTGCCAGGCCTTTGAAGAGAAGGCCTTTGTCCACGCATAGATCAGCTATGCATGTGCTGAAGGTCCGACACAGGATGTGTCAGACCTGCCACTTCTGGAGGGTGTGACTTGATCTGTCAGGGTGTGCATCGCTCATCTCTTTTGTTGACTGCACATGCAGAGTTTCTGCTCAGCCTAAACAGGGTGGAAAGAAAGCTTCTCGGAAACAACTCTATTTTTTTCAAAATGTCTGCTTAGATACAGATGTTTCAGAGGAGGTACAACAATATAAAATGAGTAGAAAAGTTTTGGGCGAAGTCAAGCATTCCCAGAACATTATGTCACTGCTGGTGCATTTTGAGTATCCTGTTGTTTTACTTGCCTACTTGTTCTGGTGAAGAAAGGACTGTTTATCTTACAGCATACCCTGAAGGTCTGTGTGGTCTCAGAAATGTCTTAACTGAATTTGAAAGCAGCAAACCTATTTCAGTAAAACAATATTCAGCCTAACATAATTAGAATTGTGCCTTATAGTATTATTCTGTAGGTGTCTGACACCCAAGTGACTGGACCAACATCCTTTTGATGTCCAGAACAGCACAGTTGTGTTCAGTAGTGATAGGGAACAATTTCCCTCCTGACAGCTTTTAGCTGTGAAGACCTGGGTTTTTTTCAGTGAGAGATGTCAGGTGCCCAAAATAAATGCTCCTATTTTAGGTAGCCATGTGCACTCTAACCTAAAACTCTTGTCTGTACACAGATCCAATTTTCAAAGTGCAAAATTGGGAACCAGGCAAGTACTTATCTATGAAATAAAGGAAACTAGTCTAGAAACAGTTTGCGGCAGAGATACTTTCCCTACTTCACCTCTTCTCTTCTTCAGAATGAAAACTTATAACTTAACTCTGTGTTTTTCACATCTGTCTCTGTGTGCAGGCTCCCGTGCACAACTTTGCTCTGGCTCTGGCTCTCCACAGGGCTCTCTCCCCCACTGTAAGACTAGTCATTCATCAACCAACTGCTAATTTAGGCCCCCTCTCTTGTGTTCAAATTTCTCCTGTCCCCATTAGTCTCTTCCAACACAGCTATCTGCAGGTTGTCCACAATCCCCCTTCTTACACTATCCCTCAGGCTCTTGGGTTGGAAGCCAATTTTTCAAGCTCAAGTTTTTGCATATGTTAACTCTCCAAAAGGTCCAGCATATATCTCTTCTTCTCACTGAGATAAGCTTCCAAGGAAAGAAATCTTTCCTTTCCTTCTTCACACTACCATCAAGACCCCAAAACAGGTGCTTAAGCCCAATGTACAATTTCTATTATATGTCAGCTATACTGTTCATAGTTCAGATATACATAGATTATTAATCAAAGTTTGCTATAAAAATACACTCGATCTTTTTATTACAGAATTTTACCATTTTTCTGTTGCTAGTAAAATTAATTACAACTCATTTTTCGTTAGTGTTTAGTCTGCGAGAAACACTGAAATGCTATATACTGACTGAAGATTCAAAAACAGTGCATTTTGACATAGATGAAGATGGTCACCATGAAATTTCAACCAAGGATTCACAGTCCCATGAAGGTAGTGTGCTTTTTATACCAAAATTCACCAACCATATGTGTACTACTACTGGATACTTTATAATCTACTATTATGTGTACTGTGTTCAGTTTTGGGCCCCTCACTACAAGAAAGACATTGAGGTGCTGGAGCGTGTCCAGAGAAGGGCAACCAAGTTGGTGAGGGGCCTGGAGCACAAGTCTTATGGGGAGTGGCTGAGGGAATTGGGGTTGTTTAGCCTGGAGAAAAGGAGACTCAGGGGAGACCTTATCACTCTCTACAACTACCTGACAGGAGGTTGTAGTGAGGTGGGTGTTGGTCTCTTCTCCCAAGTAACAAGCGAGAGGACAAGAGGACATGGCCTCAAGTTGCACCAGGGGACGTTTAGATTGCGTAATACAAAAAATTTCTTCACCAAAAGGGTTATCAACCATTGGAACAGGCTGGCCAGGGAAGTGGTTGAATCACCATCCCTGGAGGTACTTAAAAGACATGTAGACATGATGCTTAGGGACATGGTTTAGTGGTGGACTTGGCAGTGTTAGGTTAATGGTTGGACCTGATGATCTTAAGGGTCTTTTCCAACCTAAATGATTCTATGATTCTATGTTTTCTGTAGACAACATTATATTGTATCTTTATGAATATCGATAGTGATGTAAGAAAACTTTCATTCCAAGAGAATGAAAGCAAAGATAATCCTCGGAGACAAGGGCAAAATGGAGGAAAATAGAGAAGATTTTGCAATTTGTGGGATTATTTCATTTTTCATGGAACTATTGTTTTATCTCAAATGCGGCTTCTCTAATTGACACCAAAAATGGTACCACAACTAACATCACAGAAGTAGTTGTTAGAGGGTATTCTTTTGGTAGAGAAGAGGCAAATAACAACAAATGCAATTATTCTAGAATTGTACTTTTTCCAGAGATATGAAAGTAGGGAGGAAAAACAATAAACCATATTTCTAACTGAAACACAGGAAAAACTTGAAATCTGTAAAATAGCTATCAACTTACTGAAACTTTATTTCTTACAAAACCCCAGCTTTTACAGGAATAAGAAGTCCATTATATATGCTTCAGATAAAGACATAGAAAGGCTTGTTTGCTACATTTATAAACTAAATTAATGTTACTTTTATTCTATTAAATTGTGAATAATGATAGCTGCACTCGTAAGGTATTTAAATGTGCTTTATATCTTTTGAAGTATCTTTTACTTGATAACTTCATCCAAATTTGAAGTAACTCATACAATTAGTATTGCTAATTTATGAACAGAACCAAAACCTGTATTGGCATACAACAGAAGCAGTTTCTGAATAGATTTGTGGTATGACAATCCTGATGTAGAAGATACTGGTGTTCCTAGAAGAAAACGAAAAAAAAGGAAATGCTATGTGATATTGTTATATATGTAAATGCAAGCACCACAAATGTATATTCATGATGGTACAGTTAAGACAACATCATATTAGGAACCACCTGTAACCTGCGTGTTTGTGACTTTGGCCTGAAGTAGATGATGCCTTCCCCAGATAGCTGGCTAGGTGATTCAGGCTAATGTTAGAAAAGCCAAAACCCCCTGCTCTCACTACCTGTTACTTTCCAGTCTTGTACATTTCGTATTAAGGTCCTCACATCTGCTGCCAAAGACTTTCAGGCTTCTCTTTGAGAGCATTTTAGGCCTTACATCTTATTAGTGACCTCTGTTTTTTCAGGTGCCTTCTCTTTTGCAAAGATAATTAATCAATTAATACATTTATTAGATTTCAGTCATCAGGGTACCTGTTCACAAGTCTAACTGTGCAGTCTTCCAAGGTTATATGAATTCAGAGACCTGCAGGAAATGAAGTCTGATGCCTGTTGTTATTACATACTCTTTCTCAGATTATGTTTTAAAACAATTCTGTAAATTGTTTGTGATGTTTTTAAATTTGAAGTATGTAATGATCTAATTCCACATATTTCTTAAATATCTTCTATTTTAGATATTGCATGGTTAAGCATGTTCACAAGGAATGAACCAGCAGTAACTGGTAAGATTCTTGTGGGAATAAAAGGTATCATTCCCTTTGTTAAGGTCTGAATAGATTTTGAAGAGGTGTTTGAGAGTAGGAAAAGAAGTTAGTAATGTTTTATACATAGACTTGACATTAGAAGTAACATATTTTACCAGATTTTCATTTAGGTCAGGTTGCTGGACAACTCTAAAAAAGAAAGAGCCTTTCTGTGTTCCATAAGAAGAAATCTTTACAGTCAAAAAATTTGCCGTAGCAAGTTATGAGTAATGGCTTGGACTGAAGGCAAATGTATATGAGGAAATAGAATGTACACATGCTAGAAAATCCAAATTCTTTTAATGAAAAGTGTGTGTGCTCTGTTGCTGGCTTATGGGTCTTAGCTAGCAAAGCCCTATTGTAACAGGAGAGGAAAAAAAAAGAAATTAATATTAAGAAAGAAGAGATACATTTTTTGAACTTTCATATTGTAAGCATAAGAAATGATTGCCAAAATCAAAGATATATTAGTTCCAGGTATTCCAGTAGAAGAGAAATGTATTCTAATTTCAACCATAAAGGGCTGCTGTAATAGAGGAGAGCAAATACCATCTGGTCCAGGACTGCTCCTTGAACAATGGCCACATGAGGATTTCTAGGTAACAGTATAAAATATTGATACCCTCCCAAATCCCAATGCTTTGAATTTCAGGCACACCCCAAGCAAGAAGTGGTTTCTTTTATTTAGTCAATTTCAAAGCCTTTCCTTTGCATGAATTTGTAAAATTGCCCCTTAGACTCTGGTACGGTTTTAGTAATGAGAGAAGTTAGGTAATTCATCCAAAGGCCATCAGAGAGTGTAAGTATCACATATGAAATCACGGAAAGGTTCCTTACTTTCCTTGCCATTCACTGTCTGCCTGACAGACCACTTGTCACATTTTTCAGAGGTGATGAAGAAAGGTAGTCTGCTTTGGATTTACACAGACTAAACAATGTATAAACAAGCCTCAATAAACTCTATAGATGGAGAAAGCCAAGGATAGTTAGGATGTAACTCATATTGACATACGTCCCCAATCAACTGGCTGGACTCCTGCATCCCTCTTTTGTTTCCACTCTTACTTCTAAGCTAGAACATTCTTGGCTTGGATATGAAATCTCTCTTGCCTGCTGATGTGCCTCTTACATGCTGCAGCTGAACTTGGACAATTGCAACTGAGGCAATTTAAACCGATGCCAAAAAAAGTAATAAAAATGGCAGAATTTTAGACCTTCTACAGTCTACCACATGTATCTGAATACACATGTAAACTGAGTAAAATACACTAGCCTGGAGTGTGTCTCAATTTTTAACAAGGATTTCTATGCTATTTTCATGCTGTAGCTGGCTCAGACAAAATTCCTTCAGACTTCCACAAAATCATTACAGTTAGGGTATGTTAGGACAACTAAAATCAGGACCAGGATTAGAGCAGCTAAAATCGGTCAGGTGGGATGAATATGTTCTGCCTTCAAAGTCTGAAAAATACCTTTGGCAATATGAAAAAAAAATCTCCTTAACTGCAACTGTTAATGCATAATAACTTAACCTCTGGAAAATTTGTATTTAGTTGCTGCAGTGATGGACATGCAGATCGACTGCTACTTTGTTATATTTTTTTTCTAAAACAGTACACTTGAGATACTTTTAAAGGCACAAGCAGTATTATTTGAAGTAAATCTGCAAGACAGTCAGAGAGTTATAGCATCACTGGATAGTTATTAATGTCACAGGCTTTGCTAGGTAATGCTTTTGTATGCCGTATCAGTTGACAAATGGTACCTTGATTTATTTACTTTTTTGCTGAGGCCTTGAAGTACTAAAAGGTAATGAATACTGTCAATTTATCAGGCTGAGGAGTACCCTTTATTGATATACTGTTATTTCCTGCAGCTGAAAAAAACAGTATCATCTCAAAAAGAAGTAAATCCAATGCACCCACAATTACGATATTTGAAAGATTTTGACTTAGAAAGCATACAGAATATAAAAGGGAAAAAATCCTACATTTTCCATAGTGATGTATATACATAGTCAGGTATATTACATAAACACATATATGACATGTATGCTTTAAGTACTAATATATATGCCTTTGTAGTTCGTATTATATATATTAATGTATAACTGGTATTCCAGACATTAACTTTAAATACAGAGAAATAAAGTATATATATGGCAAATTTAAAGCATCATAAAGCCATAGACTTTAAATACTTTACAGAAGAGAACAGTATCAAGAGTGATTATATTTGTTTCTATTCCTATGCTTATCGATGTAAAGTGAACCTGAAAGTTGTCTCTTCACAAAATATTTTCAGCTATGCTTCATTATACGAAGTGATACACATTTTATTACAATATTCTTCCTTATGTAAAACAGATTCTAAAAATTTCGTGATCCTCACGCAGAGATCAAAGTTTAATGAATTTGTCCTATTGTGCAAGGGTAAGAAGCAGCTCTCTCTGAAGGTAAGAAGTTGTTTATCTCCTTTGTAACTTGTGGGTGCTCTTTCTTACTATACAACAATTTCCCCCACAGAACTTTTCAAATTCATTTTCCTTTACTTACCACCTTCCACATTTCACAACTTCTGACTACCTTCCTCTATTCTGTCTGGGGAAATATTTAAAGTAGGTTATTGCAAAAATCATTCAGTTAGGTAGTTGACTACTGTCACTAGAAGGCAGTTGGGGATGTTGGGTTCCAGTCTCTGTGGAGGGAGAGGGGGCTTCTTAACCAGAAAACATGCAAGAAATAAAAGAGGAGGAAGAAGAAGGAATGCTGCCTTGGAAAGAGATGAGTTTAAGAGAGGAATTATTTTCTCCTGATTGACCTGAATTACAGGATAAGGCATGTGATGAAAAGATACTACAGCTGGATGTAGTAGCCTGTTTTAAATATTTACCATCGGTTGTCAGAGCATTCCCATTTTCTTCAGTCTTGTAAAAGTTTGTTTATGGTAGGAAGAGCTGGCAAGGATAGTTTACCCTGTTGGAGTTTTATAACATTTACTAAAATCTGTCTGAGGAAGAATGTTATGTTGGAATTTACCCTCTAAAACAGGGCAAAGGTTTAATAAGCTCTGTTTACACAGATTATGTTGAGATAAAGAATGACCCTTCATCTAACACTGGCCATGCATGATGGTGTAAATTGCCAAATGCTTACTCAGATTAAGTCTCTGATGTTTTTAATTTGTTTTTAATTCACAGATGACTTTCCATAAAATCTACTTCCTGAAATTATCTGGGGAAATGTATTTTGCAAGAGACATTAATTATGTTTATAGCTTGTTATCCCACTGGGATTTTCCTTTCTATCTTTGAAAGAGCAACTATTTTAAAAGGATTTTTCTGGTTCAGAGATTACCTTTTCATGGTTGTACCAGACTGTGTTTCTTGACATGATTAAAAGAATTTATTATCTGAAAATGAGGTAAGACATAGTTAGTGTCTCCCAAATATGTAAAATCCTTGGAAGGATCATGGACCTTTCTTTTTCCAGCAGAATACAAATAATTTTCTTAATCTCAACAGGAATTTTGGTATGGAAGATGACAAGGCTCCTTATCTATGATAAAGTTTTGGTATTCTGTTACAATGTGGTTCAGTCTTGGCTGCATTGCAAAATAGAATCTGAGCATTAAACACTTTGAAGGACTGTCTTTGGTCAACCAAAATTCATTTTGCATTGCAAATGGTAAAAGAGGAATATATTCATGGAAGTGTTTCAAAAACTTACCAACTTATTCATCTTGGATAATTTGAATGTAAATATTAATGGACTTTATTAAAAAAGAGAGTTTTCTTTAGAATTAATACTACATTTGCTGTATTACAAGAGCAAAACATGAAGACAAAATTACCAATCTGTGTGGTTGTAAACACAGGTCTTAAAAGCATCCTGTTCGGGGCGGGATTATCCTTCAGTGGAAAGATGCAACATGAAAACATGCAACCATGAAAATCCTGACTTCAAACAGGTATATAATCATAATCATAAATGTATTTGTGTAAGACAGTGTGTAAGCAAACATAGGTGTAAAAAAAGTGCAGCTAAATGCATCCTGCTGTTACTCATTAAGTGAATAATTGTTTACTTTCCTACTTCAGTGGATTTTTAGTATTTTCCTCAGAAAAAGGAAAATAAGAACTTTTCCATACTTTTGACTTGACTTGTTATTTATGAGTACATCCTTCAATCTACAGGCAAAGTATCTGACTTTCAATTAAAACATGAAAGATGGAGATGTTTCCCATATTATTATGGTCATATAAAATGCAGGGAGAGAGAAAATAGTTTTCACCTGATGCAAATCCTTAGACAAGATCTAGAAAATCTGGATGAGTGTATTAGCAGATCTAGAAGGGTCAGATTATAAGAGTAATGAGGTGTTTAAGAAATAGTGAATCTATCAGCCAAAAACTTCCGGGAAGTAATAAACCCATAAAAGATATATAGAGAGAGATATATGTATATATATATAATTTAATATAAATAAGAAATAAAAGTAAGCAGTCTCTGAAGTACTTTCAGACTGAATTCTTTATCAGCAGATGATTATAGATTGGAAGTAATGCACTGTGTATAGAAATACAGGTAGTCAGGTGGTTTCTTAACACATTTTTGAGAGCAAAGCTTGATTTTGTTGGCTCTTCTCTAAATAGAAATAATAAAACATTGTGAACACAGGAAAGAAACTACTTTAGTTGTTCTATAAGGTATCTTAGACAGAAGTTCTAACCCACAGGAATTGAAAAACTAAGGAATTATAGCTAATAATAATTTTTGTTAGGGTTGTAGTCCAGTGGTTTTTCTGTTCAGAGGGATTGGAAAGACAATCTTTCAAATTTCAATGAGCAAAATGAAGCTATCTGAGATCAGATAGCTTTCAGAACTTCATAACAGTGAGTAAGAAACGCTGAAAACCTAAAATTTCCAGCCTAATATTTCTAACATTGCTAACATTTCTCCTAAATCAGAAAAGAATTCTGGTAATTTGAAATGATAAGAAGTTTCTTATTTGAAGTCATTCTGAAATGGTCTTTCAAAGGTATGAGCTACAGTACTACTAATTTTTATTTAATAATTAATGAACAAATCTCCTGCATACTGGGCCTGGGGTCCTTCAGTTTAAGCTCCTGCTGAGGTACTTACTTGCCACAAATATTCCTTGGCTCTACATAGAAGGAGAAAGCAACGAAGCTTAGGAAACTTGTAAGGCAACTTCTAGTCCCCTCCTTGTATGATGTAAACCATCACAGTCATATTGCATTTTTCTAAAATGTATTTTATACGCTTTTTTATAGAAAAAGATATGCCTTTTCCTGTGGAGCTGTTCATAGGGAAAGGATTAGTGTCTTGATGGCTGCAAGTCTTGGGGGACGGCTGGAAAGAAGAGCTGTAACTGTTGCCTGTAGAGACCTATTCATCACTCCATGTTTCTAAACAGATAATTAAAATGAAAAATTAATTCTGAGAACCCATGCATTACCTAACAAGACAGACAGTGTTCTGCTCATCATGGTTTCTTGCTGATTCCTTCAAGTAGAAGAAAAAAATGTTACTCATTTGTGTGAGGAGAACTCAGCAGCCTGCACTTGAACCACAGGCAGTTAGGCTAAGATGCAAAATCACGGTCAGGTCTGAATCATGTGATTCTTAATACACCTTCTAGAATGAGTGCATTGATGAGGAAATAATTTCTGGTGTGATGAAATAAGCCTCAACTGTCCTTAGGATGAAAAAGTGTGGGAGGAGTTGACTGAGGTGGAGGAATATTTCTCATAGTCAATGACAAAGCTATGTGGTGTCTTAAAGACAGGCATTTTCCTTTTTTTATTGGAAGACTACCAGTAGAATTACAGAAACATGAGAATCTGTGGATCCTGCTGTTATACCAGCAGGAAGAGTTGCATATAGTGTTGTAAATTTCCATTTCTGTAACCAAGGCTTATGGAGACACAGTTCACAAGCAATATTTATTACATTTTATTAATTAGGCTGTTATTATCACAATAAAATAATAACAGCTTCCAACAGCAAATAATAACTTATAATAACATCTTATTCTGATAGGGGATTAAGTCAGGAAGGTAACACAGATCACAACCAATATTTATTGCAACATGATGCTGGTAAGAGCGGAAAACTGTTTGCATCGTACATGCAGTCACTGCCTCACTCATTGTACACACTCGCAGTCACCCAGCTGGAGCAGCAGTGGAGAGGCCAACCCCAGTGGTTCACTCAGGAGCTGGCTTACATTTACTTATAACTGTAATTATTTTAACCCTATAATAGAGCATGCTTATAATAATTAATAATTTCATACAAGCAAATGCAGTTAACCACACAACAGGATGAATTAAGAGATACAGAACAGTATTTCCCTTCAGCTCCACCACAGAAAAGGTTTTCCCAGCTATCTCCCCACAACATTTTGACAATGATGGGATGTTTCCCACCCCTTCTAGATAATTCTCCCACTAACCAATACAGTCCTCTTAGCACAACTACGATTACATTTACAAACTTCGTCACTTGATGTAGCCCACACAGAGGAAAGTGTTAATCCCAGTCATTTCTGAAAAAAACCTAGCATATGGTTATGATGTTGAAATGAGTTTTATTTAGCACTCACTGTTGACATTAATGGCTTGATTTGACCTGGAGCTCTCAACTAGACTGCTACTATTTCATGCTCTTCTTATCTTCTAGCAGTTTCCTTAGAAGTCTGGACAAAAATTATGCAGCCATGTAATATCAGACCTGGGCCTGTATCCTTGTGATACAGGCAGCTAAACAGATCATAGGAGAAGGGAGTACGGGGGGAACAAGTAATAGAGGGCGGAATTACCAAGGAGAGTTGTTCACATTATGTGTTGTTACATGTATGTATAGGTTTTAATGTTCTCATTTTACCATTTTCATTAATTATGTATAGATTTTTACTGTTTCTTTTTTACTCTTCCAGAAGTGCAAGGTTTAGTGATTATATATTGGTTATCAGAGAAGTACACATCTCCTTCAGTACATATCTTTAGTATCTCCCTTCAGTGTTATTTCTGTTCTGATTCAACCACAATATTTTAGTATTCATGATATATTAACACCCTCCGATCTTTGCATATGTATACTTAACCCTCTCAGCTCTTACACTTAGTTTTCCCTCAGTTTCAAACCTTCCTTTATCTTTCCTTTCTCAGTTGATACCCCTCCTCAATTCCTTCGTGACTTAACACATTTGCTTAAAAGGTTAGTGAAGTGAGCAATTTTATCACTAGATCTGGCTGCTCTTCTTCATGTTGTTGTCCCTTGGTGGATAATGCAGGGTGATTAGGTTATTATAACTAGACAGCATTTTCCCAAAACTTTGACTGGATGGAATTCCCCACCCTGGGTGGATTGAGATCTGAAGGGCTGCAATTCTCAAAGCTTCATTAAGAGCTGTGACAGTTTTTATTCTAGGGTCCTCTCTACTTCGCTGGGTGGTGAGATGAATCGAAACAAGACAGAGACAGATTAAGTCAGAGGTTAGCTATGCAGTCATAAAAGATCTTATTGTGGGACTTACTCTTTACTCCAGTCAAACAGGCTAAAATAAAGAAAATGAAGCTCCAAATAGGCAAAATCCGGCAAGTGAGGTCCACAGAATTATGTTGGTTCAAGACTTTTGAGTCGGTAATGACAATGCCATGTTTACTGCACTTGGCTGCTGGCCAAGGTCAACCCACCACAGTCCTTTTTGGCAACCAGCATGCAGCTTCAGGGGTTTCTTTGTCTCCATAAGTTGATTCATCTGTTGGAGACCCAAGGAGTGATCAGCAAGGTTCACTCACCCTTCAGTAGTCCTATATGGCCGGTGTGAAAGTCTGATGGAGGGTGGAAGTTAACAGTGGGCTATTCTGGCCTGAACAAAGTCATGCCACCACTGAGTGCTGCTGTATCAGGTGTCCTAGAGCTTCAATATGAATGGGAGTCAAACGTGGCAGAGTGTATGCTACAACTGATATGGCTGAAGCATTTTTCTTGATCCCTTTGGTAGTAAAGCGCCGGCCATAGTTTGCTTTCATGTGGAGGGGTGTTCAATACATCTGGTACCAACTGCCCCAGGGGTGGAAGCACAGCCCTACCATTTGTCGGGACAGGACCAGTTGTGAGAAAGAAAGCACTGAGGTGTGTTGGCCCCTGCCAGCAGCTACACCCCCCCCAGCCACTCACTTAATCCCACTCCCCACCAGTGGGACAGGGGAGAGAGTAGCAAGAGCAAAAGTGAGAAAACTTGTGAGTCAAGATAAAGACTGTATAATACGTGAAGTTCAGAAAAAAAACCAAGTGATGCAAAAGTACTTACTCAACTCCTCCCATAAGCAAATCAATGCCCAGCCAGTCTCTGAGCAACAGCCACCTTGGAAGCAAAAAACCCCCACCCTCTTCTTCCTCTACACCAGTCTTTATGGCTGACCATGACATTATATGGCATGTAGTATCCCTTTGGCCAGTCTGGGACAGCTGTCCCAGCTATGTCATGTCCCAGTCTCTTGCCCACCCCCATAGGCCTACTTACTGGGGCAGAGTGGGGAAAAGAGAAGGTCTTGATGCTGTGCACTCACGGCTCAGCAATAGCCAAAACACTGGTGTGTCACCAACCCTGTTTTAGTCAAATCCAAAGCACTGCATTATTTATTTGTAATACTTTCCAAGCACCATAGCTTCTTTGATGCAACTGAGATGTCAGCTCAGTTTTACTAGTTTGCCTACCATCATTGTACAACATATGCATTTTTTGATCATGGGCTCATTTCCTTGTTTCATCTGAGGCAAAATGTAGATTGTAGTGTGCCCTATACTCCTTTGTGTAACATGTCATGACAATGTAAGATGATTTGTTCTGTTTCAGCTGGCCTTCATATCCATTCCTTTTTATCTTTTTGCTGCTTCCTGGTGTAGAACACAGCAGCTGAACTTAGCCTGGGGTTATGCTCATTGTGCTTTGTTCAAACTGACTAAATCATTTTGAGTCTGTTTATTTTAAAACTTGGATACTACTCTCTTGCATATTCCTCTGTAGCTCCCATCACTGACATATTATTCCACAGGACAATGTTTTTTTCTTTAACCTGTGGAGACAACATTTGTAGCATTTTTCTAACATGAGCATACATATGCTATTGCAAGTGCATTGTGAATCACCTGTGGGACATGAGTAAAGGTTTATTATTTTGTCACTAAAAGTGAAACCTAACCTGCAAATTGGTTCTTCATTTAATGCAATGGCAAAGAAACAGTCAGATCTGTAACTGAAAACCAGGGTGTTTTCTTTTTCGCTGGAACTTGCAAATGATCTCTCAGGCATGCTTGCTGCCATAGGAGCTGTCCTTGGGATGAACCTTATCTGGCAGTAGTCCACCATATTCTCCAGGTTTTCTCATCAGCCATCTTAACAGGCCATAATAGAAACTGTCTGATTTCTTGCAAAACACCTTGTTCTTCAATAACCTGCTGCAAGTCCCAGCCCTAGCAGTGTTTGGATATGCTTCTACTCCGAGCTCCTCTTTCTTCTCCCAGTCACATGATATCATTCCCCAAATCATCTTCCTGTGATGGCTCTGCCATCTAATTTTCCATCATTTCATGCAGATACAGCAGGTATTTTCAGTTTTTACATCTTGATCTGCTTCTCCAAGCACTTAATTTTGGTTTCACATTTACCAGGTCCCATTGGAGTCTCCCTTGCTCTAGGGTGAATTTCTGCATTGTACACATTAATCCCTCTCCTTGCTTCTGCAGGTTTTCTTTCTTCTTCTTTTTTTTTTTTGTGAAGTCACCAGATTCTCTTATTCCATCTGTATTTCTCTATTACCTTTTTGAGTCCCTAGAACGTATTTCTTTCCTAAAAGCAAATTACCTTCAACTTTCCTAATAGTATTTTTTACAACAGAAGTTTTTGATTGAAGCTGCAGTTACTCTGCTGTTACACTGGCTTGATCAGGACAGAATGTTTTAGCTGCTTCCCATTATAGCTTTGCTAATATGGGAGGTGTATCCTCAAGTTTCTTTCATGCACTCTGCAATAACTGCAGGAAATTTTCTTTCCATCCCCTGTTGTCATGTGGACTGAAAGAACACATTCCTGCTTCCATGAAAAGGTGGTTATTGCCAATGCTGTAATTTCCAGCATAGCTGAGGCTCTTTAATATCCTCCAGCTTTTCCCCAAGCATTCAGTTTCATTTTAAAGGTCCCCTTAAGCATTGTGCACAATGATAATGCACCAGACTGGTCACATTTATAGAACTGTCTTGTGAGTAGGATTAGAGTGTTCAAACAGATCACTGAAAGGGCAAGATGAAATAATTTGATTATGCTGTATTCATTTACCATCTCAGTCTTCCCCAAAAGATATTATAAATTCCCTGCTCCCTGACAAGAGGCTGAGTTGGGGGAAACACAAATCTCAACCTTTTATTAATTAAGCTCCTACTATTAGCAGCAGATAACTATTCACACAGTCTTCTCAGTTACTCCCTCCCTTGGTGCACACACTCAGGAGCCGGGGCTCGTACCCACACTCTGGGGGTTTCCAGGCACAAAGTCACCGATGGGGTCCCTCATTTCAGCAGGTGTGCTTATACATACTGCCCTGTAGTCTTTGTCCACCTATAGCAGCCCCTGCTTTCTGGGATGCAGTGAGTTACGTGACCCGTCGTGGGTGCCAGTGTGTGGTGGAGGCCTTGGGCATGTTAAGCAGCTCCTTGGTACCCTGAGTTTATCAGTTTTTGCAGATTGAACAGGGCTGCTAGTCTCCAGGGCTTACGGTTTCAGAGGCTAACTCTCAGCACATACTCTTCTTCTCTCTGGCATGGTGTTTTCTGGTAACTATTTCTCCATCCTCACCCTGAGGTGCCAAGAGAGCGCAAACACATCCACACACACAGAGGGGTGGTTTTGACAATAGCCATGCCTCCAGAGATGCATCTTAAAAAAGTGCATTGGAAACTGAAGATGTACAGAAAAATCATAGGTAATAGAACAGGTGTTTATGAGTAATTGGTACTGTGACGTTCTAATTTTGCTCCAAAAGAGGCAAGAAAAACTGTGGATTGATGTTTTGTTCCCAGTGGCTGTTGACAGTGTAGGTCTGTGGTAAGAAAATAACCAGATGAAAATCCTAAATTATCTGAATAATAGGTATACTGCAGAGAAAAACTGCTGGTCTTTTTGGGAAGCAAAGGAATGCAGCTATGAGTCTGGAAATACTCAGTCCTTTGAGGGAGACAGGTATTATTTTATTCCTAGTTATCACAGAATCTGTCCCAAAATTATTAGGTGTTGCCAAAGATCTACCTAAAAATTGGTAGATAGGTGGCACTGGAGAAAAGCATTCAAAATATAACAAGCCAGCAACATACATGAATTTTTGTCACATGAAACCCTATAGAAAGTCTTTAAAAATATAACATATGTTCTTTACTTTGTGTGTTTTCATAGCTGAGTGAAGATAATCACTTTTTCATCATGCACTACCAAGGAGATTCAGTGCAGTTCCAATGCTATGAAGATAGAAGTTACTACCTGTATGTGAATGACGACTCACTTGATATTCGCAAGCCGGAAAACAAAGAACCCAACGAGGACAAAAATTTTTACTTCAGGGTGTCATATTTACAGGAAAAGTAACTTGTCTGCCTTTCAGTGGCCTAAGTGTCCATACAACTTCTGTAATAAGCTAACAGAAGAGAAGGAAGGTTGAGATAAACTAATTTCCGTTTTTGCTTAATTTTTACTTTTTTTGTAATTTCTTGAGACACCATTTTGCATCAGTAACATCCTTTATTTCTGTACTTTCAACAGGAAAAGAGAAAGGCTAAGTTTGAAAAGCATACTAACTGATCAGTCTCTTTGTGTCTTACCTGCACAATTATGATTTTAAGGAGCTCAGTTCTTCTGGAAGGGGAAAAATACACAGGGGATATTTTGAAGGCAGGGGAAAAAGAAGGAAGTGTACATGGATATGAAATAGAAAGCACAGTTAGTTCTCCACATGGTAAACATTTTACTTTTTAAAAAATGTCTCTTATGAGCTCACCTGAACTTGACAAGAAAATACTTAGATATTAAATGCATATGTGCATGTCCTAACTGACTGACTGACTTTGGGAAAGGAGTGGAAAAGGTATCTCAGGTCTAACTGAGAACAAAGGAAGAGGCTGAAGGTTAGTCTCTGCTCCTGTAGCTCCAAGTCAGCGCATATACTCCATTATGCAATTTCAGCATCTATCCAGCATGGCAGCTCTCTAAGAAAATGTGCACAAAGCATCAGACTCACAACGTGCAGGCAGAGGGAGGGAGGCACATTGAACTGACGGGGCATAACAGATGCCTGTGAACACTGGCAGAAAATTGCTATGACATATTAGCTTCCATCAGTGAATCACAGAGGGAAATGCCATCATGTGTTCAGCTGCAAAGTGGAGTGCAGAACAACACCTGAAAAATAAATGTTCAAAATGACTAAATAAAATAAACACTAGGTGGTTATGTGGGATACACTGGAGGAGCAGTAAGAGTACCTGCCTTTTAGCAACAGGGTCTGTCAGTGTGAAATGGAAGATGCTGACACTTAAATGTCCATAGATCATACCCTGCAAGGCAGAAAACATTTGAAATACAAGAGGAGACAAAGTAAAAATTTACACAGAATCACGAGGTGTTAAAGATCTGGTTCTCCACTGCTGTGCATGGAGTCCCACTGTGATTTAGTGGCAATTTTCCTTCATGCAAGTCATTTGGGAATGTATGTATATAAATGATAGACATCATGCACCTATGCCAAGAGGTTGTTGCTTAGTTGCAGTGGAAAAACCTACAGGCCACACAACACTTGCATGAATTTTTCTGTATAAATATAATAAACAATGCATACCAGAAATAGGAAGCCTAACATCAGTCACACCAATGTACATTACAAGAAGGTAATTATTTGTGGTAGACCAAACTCCAAAGGTCTGTGAGATCTTAAAAGATTCCTCCTCTCTCCCTGCTTCCAGCACTGTGGAGTTTCACTGGTAGGCTTGTTGTATTCTTCAAATAGTGAAAATCATTCCATTGCTTCCAATGCTGACTGAACAGAAGACAGCTTTTGAGTATTCCCTAAATAACACTTACAACTTCTGGATCTGTTAAGAGTTCAGTGAAGTCAGTGGGAAGAAAAAAACCCCAAACTCTAGATATTGACTTCAGCATACATTATACTAGATTGAAATTATTTTCGTACTATCTATTATGTTGCACAAGAAATAAATTCAATTATATATCAGGTACAATGACTGCATTAGCTGATACACTAACACTTCATAATCATACATTTATTATTGGTAATGTGATCACCTTACTAAATTACAGAAGATGCTTTCTAGATGATAAGTTTATGAAATGATGACAACTACATCATAAAGCTCTTACAAAGCATACTAATGAAATCAGCATTGCAGATGTCAGCAAAAAAAGTAATGTTGACCTCAGTAAATTTTTAATTTATTTTATAGTTAAAACTTAAATTATGGTTACATGCAGAATGTTGTACTTTTACCATCTACTGTAAAAATAAGATTTTTTTTGACAATTTAAGGGACAAAAGCCCTTATGGAAAGCAGCAGTGGTAATTTTGTAAAGTTTCAGATTTGAGATATAAGTCAGTAATGTCATTTGACAGTTTTTCTCAGAAAACACAGTAAATTCAGCCAGCTTTGTAACCATAAATGTACATAGAAAAACAAGTTAACAATTTCTGGATTTTAATCTTTCCTGGATTCTTGTTTTGCTCATACAAACTCTTCAAACTGACATTTTCAAATTCCCATTAATCTGAGTGTCTCATAATTGGCAGACAAGTTTTTATTTTGTGAGATGGAAGGCATGTAGAAATTTTATTTTAAAACAGAAAAGGAAAGCCAGTGAGTCTTTTAGAAAAATATAGCCTCTAACCTTTACAATACAGAAAACATTTATCCAATGTATCTAACAATTGAATATGAAATATAATTACTATTTTGCAGTTTATTTTCAAAACAGTACTGATACTTTTTAACTTTTACTTAGCAGATGCGACAATTATTAAAATAGTAATACAAATATTTTGCTCTTGTGTTTATCCTTCTCAAAAGCTGTGCCTTAAAGAAAATACCACATTCTGTTTGCTGCAGAACAATTTAATGCAAATGTTCTTCATATATAACTTTTAGTACTTTGACCATATTTGTGACTTGTTAGAACAAAACTTGTGAGAAGAACATAACTATAAAGAATGTGATCCTTATGCTAGTTAATCTGACAAAAGCTAACCTAAGTAATGTATGTAAAAGAGGAGACCATATCTTCTTAGGATCTATGTGCTATCTTTTCAGGAAACCAGAGTTCTTTCAATCATGGAGAAAGGAATGGTCATCTACAGTGGGAAAAAAAATCATTTACAGTAAAAAAACACTGAAGACTGGTAAAAAAATGACTGCATTAAACAGTGAGTTTAGGAACAACTGTCATATGTTAACGCAAGAGACTGGCAGCCAGCCTTGCTAGGCCTGAAATATGTGCCTAGTATACACTGAGTTACATACCACCTTCATTATGGGTAGCCAAAAGAACTAGAAGTTAGAATTAGAAACTGTTAGTCTAATGAATGCTTTTACAGTCTAAATAAAATACAACAATCTAGCATTAGTGCAATTGCAACAGTACTAAAACTTGTAAGTAATCTAAATCATGCAGTTTCTGTTATGGATCTTTAGTAACACAACACATCAATACACAAATACTCATTTATGCCTCTTCCCTGGTGTGAAGTTCTCACTCTTCCAGTCATTCACAGTCTGAAGTCAACAGCCTTTTTTTCTTAGATAGAATGATGTGATGATGTTGCCTTTACAATACACTTAATAATATAGATGTATCTTGTAGTTCCCCACTGATTTAGACAGAAGAGTATTCTGTCTTGAGTGTTGCTGCTTTTAGATATACATGGCATGAATTTTGAAGTAGAAGGTGTGTATAAACAGAGATTTGTTTAATGTCATCTTGGTTTTGTTTCTATTTGCCCATAATTTGTCTAACCAAAGAAAACATAGGCAGGCTAAATTCCTCCGAAGTTCATGTATTTTAAATGCAACTCCTCATATTCCCTGTATATATGAGTAGCTGCAGATGAGCAGATTCTCTACCAGCTTCCCTCTTCATTGCTTCTGGCAAATTGCATGGGCTAACCAGTACCGAGGATGAAAGACAGCAGCTGTTAATGTACAGCTCCTATGTTAACATACAGTTCACTGAAGCTGTCCTTCTCTAGCACTGCCTGGTGGACTTCAGGTGAACGGTAGTAACCTTGTATTCAAATTTTATCACATCAGCAAGCTACAAAAAAGTTCTCAGCAGCTGAAAACAAAAAATTTCTTTCTTTTTCCAAACCCCGATATTTATTTCCAACCTGTATCACAGGGCCTAGATCTCCTGTGTCTGGAATGACTGAAGGGGGCAGCCAAGCAGGTCAAGGAAAGAAAGCTTTCCCCTCTCTTTGGCATTTGCAAGGCTGTATCTGTGGCACTGTGTTCAGTTTCAGGCTTTCCAGCACATACTGGAGCAAGGCTGGACAGAGGCATGAGGATGGTTAGGAGGATGGAGCATTTGAGGAGGAGAAGCTAGGGCAGCAGGGTTTGTTTGGCTGGCAGGTGAGAAGGGTGACTCTTCACCTAGCTGAAGGGGGATTGTAGAGAAGACAGAACAAAAATTTCCGTAGAGGTGCACAGCAGAAGGACAATAGGCAGTAGTCACAAGTTGTAGCAAGGGAAATTCTGACTGCCTGTAAAGAAAAAAAATAAAAATGATAAGGATATGTAGGAATTGGAACAGGTTTTGTGATTATAAAGTGTCCACCTTTGGAGTTTTTCAAAATTCAACTGGACAAGGCCCTGTGTAAGCCCATTTAACGCTGAAGGTAAGCCTGCTTTGAGCAGGCGGTTTGACAAAATGACTTCCAGGGGTTCCTTACGATGCAAATTATATTGTGATTCTATGATTCAAAGGCAGCTTCAGTGTCTTAGAACTTACAGAATATTTACTCCAAAGAGCGAAAGTATTTAGTACAACCTACACAAAGATAACAGAAGAACCACATAAAAGCAAACAAAATAAATCCTATTGATTCCACCTCAAAGCACAATGTTTTCATGACTACATGCAGGCTTGAGCCCAGAGGAAAAGATATTCAGTGTCAGAAAAAACGTCATAACAAGTGAAAGATTCCCTCCTGATCTCCAGAAAACTCAAAGAGAAATACATAGGCTATTTCAAAGCAGAAAACTGTATAAGGAGAACAAGGTTCATTTGGAAAATGAAAGGTAATTGCAATATGATTATCAGGTGAATTTAAAAACTACTGTCATTTTACCTGATTGTTTCTGGTGTAGTTTTTCTTGCAGTAATAGTCTTCTCAATATTTGAATGACCTCAGTAAATAACAGTAAGCATATTTCATTGTATTGAAGTCCAGTCAGTTCTGTAAGGATTCTCCCCCCGGCTATTAAAAGTAATGAGTAAACCACAGTTTTATTAAAGAAATCAGAATGTACATTAGGTATTCTAATAATGTTAAAAACTAAAAGATCTAATAAACCTAGCTACAAGTGTTACCTAAATTTCACAATTTTTGCAAATTACTACCAGGATAATTAATTCCTGTAATAAATAGATTTTTCTCTCATAGACATTGGAGTTGTGGCTGACAGGCATGATATTTTCTGTAACATTAAGACTGTCCTGTTAGGCATTACACCAGCAAAACTGACATTTGCACTGCTTTCTCATAAAAATATTTACAAAGAGAAAGCAACTAGATTTCCAGTATTCTAGTCAAGTTGTTGGTGTAGCAGGCTTCAAGCCTAACTGTTGTCAACGCAGATAACTGAAGTGATTAGCAGACACTGATAAGAAAAGGTAAAGTGTTGTTTAATGTATCTTTGCTGCCAGTTTGTTGGTAAAGGATTCTATGGTGTTTTACAGAGACTGAATATGAGAAATACGTGAAAAAAGGGGTGACAAAGTCTAGAAAAGGTATTGAAATTGGAAAGAAAAATGTAGAGAAAGAGAACAGATCAGAACAGAAAGACATAGTATGGAGAGCAGAAAGATACACAAGAAAAAAAGTTGGCTAAAAGGTATAAAACAGAGAGGTATAAAGAAAAAGTTTGGAAATGAAGCACAGAAAGAATAGCATGATTCTATGTGCATTCCTTCTTCCTTCTAGAAAACTAACAAATAGAAGAGTTAACTACACCAACCCCAGGTAAAAATCTGTAGTTCTCACACAGCTGAGCAGAGGATAATGTCTTGAAATCTCTGTATCGGTCCCAAAGTCCTTTTATCATAGTACTGATCATTTCCCAAATGAGTGCAAATCACAGTTCAAAGAAGTCATAAAGGTATGTTTAAACAAATTCTTTTACCCCTGTGCTCACCTCTGCTCCCAGGTTATTCTACAGTTGTACAGGGAGCTGCAAATAAGATAGACTAATGGAAATGATGCCCTGGGGTGTGTTTGTGAGATAACAGGTATGTGCTCTTACACAAAAGAAATTAAATCTATTGCCTGTTGTTTGAAGCTTTAGCTCCTCTCTAGACATCATGTTAACTAAGTGGCATATCAGATTACTTTTTTTTACTGTATGAGAAGAAATGCAGGGAAAAAAAAATATAGCTATGCATGCATGTGGGGTACTTACATTTTGGCTAATTAGAAATTGATGTGTTCATTATTCACTGCAGCTTTACTACAGAATTTGCAAGATCTCTCAATCTGGTTTCAACTTCACTTTTTTGATAGATTAGAAAGACAGAAAGTAGTTAATTAGTAATTAATTATGAGTTTGCTTTGGTTTTAGTGTGAGCTTCTCTATATAAAGTCTTATTTAGAAATAGAGGATATATAATTCAAAATACAGTTTCAGAAGACCCATACATTCTGACCTTTACCTGCTTTCTTTACTGGCAGCTCCACATTTTCTGTCTGAAATTAACATTTTCTTTGAAATTACGTAACTCTCTTGAATAAGGTCATACTAAATACTAGACTATTAGTCATGCTAATACATTATATTAAAACTAGTATTAACCACTACCATATGTTGACTGCTAACATTATGAACAAATATGTTCTGTATTTACAAACTTAGGCAATCTTTGCTGACAATTAAGCTTCACTCTTTAGATAAGCCTTAAAACTATTTTATGGGTTTGTCTCAAGAGTAGAGAAATTAAGTTTACCATGACACACTGACGTGCCTTTGCTATAAGTCTTTTTTCTGAAACCATGATACTGAGATGATAACAACTAGCCATGCTTTTAAAGACCATCTGACAAAGTATCTTGAGGCATTTCAATGTCTAGACAGTACTCATTCTTTCCAATTATTTGTCATTTAAATGAGTCTAATAATTAACAGAGGTAGTTGCTCAATGTTTTTGAAACTGGAATTTACAAAGTGTAATCTGGACGCAGCACAAAACCCAGTTCTTGCAGTAAATGAAAACGAGAACTTCAAGATTTGTTCCTGATGATCAGATGGATCTCAAGATCAGCCATGAATTAGACAAAAATTGATGATGTGCATCACAAGTGACAAGTAACATGTTTGAGTTCACTCTGCTTTGAGCAGCAGAGCTGACTACATGATTTCTGGAGGTATCTTCCAACCTCAGTGACGCTACGATAACTGCTGGTGATTCTATTCTGTAAAAGGAATTTATTGTGGGAAAAAATTGCTCCTGGGAGGAACATCAGTAACATGAAAATGGTATAAAAATACTTTGGGTGAAAATAAAACATTTG